AATCAGAGCGAAAATAGAACATGACATCTATCGTTGGATTTCCTGTCTATCAGTTTCGATTATGTTAGTTCGTTTATGCTACACCTGTCTGGGTTAGTGGAGAAGTGACTGATTGACTTTCAAGTGATAGATTCCGGCTTTAAATGCTTCTGGACTCAATTAGGCTTGTACAGCTGGGTAGTATTGTCGAGCTCTGAAATCTGACTCCAAATTTATATACGCGTCCAGATACACTATCACCTACTTATAATTCCCGACACTGCTGATCCACCTGCGTCAGACAGTGTAAATATCAGAGTTAACGCGAAGTATGCATCAGGATGTTATATTGGTCAACGAGCGAGCAAAACGTCTTTATCAGTACAACTAAACAAAAAATGTTCAGTGAGTTGTTACATATTTCAACACAATACAGTGAAATAAAATGCTACAGTATCATAAATTCTGGCACGATAAATGTAACTCGTAATCTAGTATACAAACGCATACAGAGTTGAGTTGCATTGAGCTTGTGATGTGGCTCATTACCAGTAGATGGACATGAACATGACTGCTGATCTGCATTTCTTCTTTGTGTCTACCTTCCTGGGGTAAATCCGATAAGTGAAAAAATGTTAAGAGACTCGAAGTCATATGACTCGAGGGCGGTGGTAGCGACATCCATAGTATATCCTTATCTACATCTTGAACATTTCACTAACCTAGGTCTTTGCGTCATCAGTGATCGCCTTAGATTTATGTCAAATTTTCGTCTAACTCTACTGTATTTAAATTGCGTTGCTTTTCCATACTGTTAATTTATTTTGCTGTGTCGTTTTGAAATTTGGCGACATAACTGCATCAGATTCAATACTGTCTATGATTGTATTCATAATTCTAAATGATATTTTCCAAAATCAGAAACGAACCATTCAGAAAGTTCATCGATTTTCCATGGAGCTTAAACTAGTAGTCGAGTGGATTAATTGGATAGTTGTTCTCGAGATTTCTAGAACACTTCGTAAAACATACCATACACCCACTCTCAATTTGAATGCAATAAACTCGTCACATGAATCGTAATCAACCAACGAATCATAAATAAATATCAGTAAGACAAAAAAATATGTGTTGCTGAGAGGAAACTAATTCAAATTAATAAGCATGGTGTAAGATCCTTTATTAGAGAAATCACTGTAAAAATCGTTAAAATAGTACAACCTTATTCGTAAATCGATTCGCCCTCAGCAACCCTATATACACGTTCGTGCAGTAGGCGATGAGCCACACCTAGGACGTGAAGAATAATAATACTTTCGGGCAGCCCAAACCTCCGTAGGTGGAGCCGGGTTTGAACCCCAGTGACCCATTGGTTGAAAGTCATCTCCCTGAACCTCAGGGAGCAATAGCTCTTACAACCTTATTATGAATATGATTTTACAAATATTATTTTCGCTCGTCTTCTGTCTACGTTCAAATCTGTTTTTCTAATATATCGAGAACGTTCGCCGACGATCGTCTGCTCCTCTAGCTTTCTCTGAAGACACCGCACTCAATACTACTCATTACACTCCCATCAATAGCAAATACCATATCACAAATAATGATGAAGTGTGAAGTCTTCTAAAACGTCAGCTGACTAAGTATCTCTGTACTGACTGAGAGCAGTGGTATATCATGGAGGCAAAAGAAATGGAGATATTAGCACTAGGTGACACTTGGCACTTGTTTAGGTTCATTTAAGCGACTGGTCAGAAAAATATGATCTGTAAGTCTGTCACTGCAAAGAATGCATCTCCGATAACCTCTGAAAATAGGCAGCTAGGACGTGGTTGGCTTTCAGAAGATGCTGCATTTCGTCAACGTCTTCGCTCAACTGGACCATGTTATTATCTCCTTACTCTGAGTTGATCAGATTTTGCTCTGAGCAATAAAACCATCTGAGAGAGGTCACACCTCCAAAAATGGGTGACAAACCACCAGCAGCTTTGTTAATCTTAAAAAAGTGACAAGATGTATGGAGGTAACGACTCTAGAGCACGGCTCAGTTGTTAGTCCATCGTTCTATCCCATACAGAAAAGTTTCTTTCCCTTAGACATCATTTCGTTCTACCAAACAAACTAAATTGGTTAGAAACAAAATGACACATAAAACAGAAACAAGGCGGGAAAATAAGACTAAAGTGTAGTTCTGACAAACAAAATTAATTTCTATATATATTATATACTCATATACATATAAAGAATAAATACAATTATCATAAATTTATGTGTTGTCTGTATATACGTATGTATGTAATGAAGAGGGTACAGCGCCGAGAATTGGTACAAGCAAAACACCACAGAGGAGGAGAAAGCTCAATCTCTGACTCAAATGATGGTAATAACAATAGCAATAATAATATCAGTAATAGTGGGACAGTAGCATTAGTAATAGTGATAATAATAATAATACCGTAACAAACAGGGATCTCAGTGATATCTCTGTGTATTTGTTTTTATCTTCTGTATGTTGGTTGGCAGTTTCAATGATTGGTCAAATAAATGAACGATGTTACCATCCCATACATGCGTATACACATGTGTGTAAGATGAATAGTTAAATAAGCAAAAAAACAGAAGAGGAATCTGTAAAAAAGGGAATAAAAGTACAAACAACTGTGTACATCTACAAAGCTGGCCCTTTGTTATCTCTGACCCATCCAATACTTAATCAAAAGACATACATATACACACACAACAGGACACAGGTAGCAGTTAGAGATTTTCATGAAGGGAGGAATTTATCAGAGGGAAATGGAGACAAAAAGAGATAGATAGACGGATAGATAGACAGACAGATAGCATACTCAACTGAACTTCATTACATGTATACTAGTATGAACTACTTCAGAACTCACTGTGGAAAGACGCTTGGTTAGTGTTGATTGACTCAATTAATTAATGAGGGTGTAAAATTTAATAAATAGAAAACAAAAGGTAGGTGAGGATGTGTATTCAAGTGGGAAAAAATCCTCATCACACATAAACCAAAACAGGTAGTATATTCATTATTAATCCCGAAGTAAAGCACAAAGTGGAAGTTAGGCAACTCCCAAATATGTGTATCTTATACTTAATTTGAAAATCACAGATAAGGATGCTTCATAAATCCATGATGCGGCTGTTTACCCTGCATTGTAATACAGCATCAGTGCGATCACGCATCACCACAGTAAACATCGTATGCGCGTAATACACAGTAGTGGTGTTATATGTAGAGGAATACAATACAATACTAAGGATTTTTCGCTAAAATATTTCTCAGAAATTCGAATAATAGGCGTATATAAGTACTGAATAAATCCAAATGGAAACCACCAGAAGAGGAACAATAGAAATACAAATATGAGCAGTACATATGTGTGTGCTTTTTTGTTGGTTAATTTGTGAGTGATTAGCCAGGTGAGTCAATGTGTATGGTAGGTGTAGTAACCTCTTATCCTTTTTATCATCATTTCCGCGTAGAAACAAAAATAGAAACCACACGCAAGTTAATCCCAAAATGATTGAGATAATCATATGAACTGTGTGAGGTAGATAGGATTCCATTGAACAGTATGCATATGTAGTACTATTGTATACACACTATTTATTCATCTACTTGTTGCATACTTTCTCAACCAAGAACACAAGGGAACTGTGAACCAACGAACATGTGAAGAAACCAGCAGGTAACATTAAATCAATAAGATAAAACAAACAATCTGAAATGTAACGGAATTTCTTATCTGTCTGCAAAATGCGCGCTTTATTGATTGATGTGGTACAATAAAAACAATGTGTTTCATAAAACAAATTGACGCCAGTTGTGTCAATAGAATCTGATGGAAACAAATTAAGGAAGGGAAAGACGTTATTTTTATGTTTAAAATTTTACTTAACAATTTTAACTACTACAATAGGAATTAAGTAGTAACTAAAAAAATATGCCAAAAGACAGGAGAGCTGAAAATGATGGTCTATTCATAGGTGCATGTGTGTGTGTGTGCGTGTATGTCTCTGTACCCGTGTATACGTGGACTTGCATTGATTCATTGGAGAAGAGCTTTTAAGTACATGAGTTCGAAAGCGAACAACAAAAAAGAAAACTTGTTCCTTCAAACAACGCGTACATGCATTGTGTTATATAGGCGCGTTTTGTGCGTCTGCGTAATGTGAGTCATAAAATTTCTTCATCTGCCTTTATTTGAGAATCAGCATTCACTTCTGCTGTGTTGTCTGTTTGCTTGTTTTTGAAATAAAAAGAAGAGGGTAGTGAATTGCATAATCTTCAGACTGTAAATACTTAATAAACAGCTGCCTCTTGAAAATGACTTGTTGTCAGGAAATTAGTCAGATTTTGTTAGCACTAATGCTGTTCTTGTTGATTCTCGCTCTATTTCTTGATTTTACAACTATGTGATAATAATCCACTGTGTGCAGTAATCATAATAACAGTAATTGGGCAAAAAAAATGCATACGGAATAAATGTATATATATATCCAGGGGAAATAACAAACAACAAGAAGTAAGGGGGAATGAAAGGTATGTTAAACTTATGCATAAAAACCCATATACACACTCAGTTAACATGTTCGAAGAAAGACATAATGTAGAGGCAGAGAAGGTAGATAAACATAGACGTAGAGAAGGGAAGTAAAACCGCTTAAAGTGCTACTTCATGAATTAAATGAAATCCATCTACACTATGTTCACTTTCGGTTGTAAAAAGATCTGTGATAAATTTATTTATAGATCACAGAATGACTTATTGTTATTATTATTACTGTAAGTAGTAGTGGTAGTAGTAGTATCATGATTACCGATAAATGAATTAAAATCGGAGAAATAAGTAAAACTGGTAAGAGAGGAAAGCAAAAAATTAAGTTCTAATGGGAAAGACAAAAAGCCATTGTTAATGTTGTTGTTATTGTTTTTTATGATAAAAAAAACTCTCCTCACTCATTGTTTATCTCTTCTCTTCTTAGTAGTAATAAGTTTATTGTGCATTCAATTGAGTCGATTGTTGTATTTGTATGGAACGACTGAGTTCATCGGTAATACTAATACTACTATTGTTATTACCATTGGTAGTAGTAGTGCTAGTAATAGTAGTAGTAGTAGTGGTGGTGGTGGTGGTAATGGTATGACTTGACTCACTTTTACGAGTATTATTATTATTGTTATTATTATTATTATTATCACAGTTACCAAAAGCAACTTTGCTACTACTCAACAACAATGACACATTCGAGTTTTGACTACCTATGAGTATAGGATTGACAGAGAGACTATTATTGCTATTATTATTTACATCTGACAGTGGATTCGACCCATCGTTCACTGGAACACTGATACTGTTGTTATTAATATTATTATTATTATTATTACTTAAAGATCTCAGTGATTCCATACTTGTTAACGAAGCAAATGTTTGTGTTGGTAGAGCAGAATATAATGGACTTAGAGTTGGTGTTACTAGGAAGGATTGTTGAATACTACTGTTATTGCTACTACTACTACCACTACCACTATTATTAGTGTTATTATTACTTGTAGAAGTTAGATTTTTCAATAATTTCCATGTGGATGGTGTAAGAATAGGTGACAGATTTTGTAAATCAGCTGATGACCAAAAACAGGATGTTGCATTACTCGACAATGATGGGATGACTTGATTCATACCATCAGCGACTTTAGCTAAAGCTTGACGTTGTGCTTTCAACACATCTAACGGTTGAGCTGATGATGTTGATAATGCTGGTAAGAGGGTGGATGGTCGACGTGTTGTCGATGTTGTTGTGGCTGTTGGTAATAAAGAAGAAGACGAGGAATTACAGGTTCCAGATTCGATTTTTACTCGTTGACGTTAATCGGTTGTTGTGATCTTCATTACAGCTACTGCTAGTAATTAGACCAAGTGAAGCAGTAGTACTCATCATTGTGGCAGCAGCAATGGGAGCAACACCTGCAGTGATCACAATAGAATTACTGGGAATAAGGGATACATTATTAGCAATAGTTGAACTGAGATCAGACTGTCTACCGGTAGACCGACTATTGTTGTTATTAGCATTATTATGACAGTGTATGTCTAATTTAGGTAGATTAGGATGAAGATTTACAAGATTCGATATTGTTTTACCATTCCCACCACAGCCGCCACCACTTATACTATTACTGGTAGTAACAGTACTAACAGCAGTTGAGGCTATCACAGATGTGGAGGAGGTCAACGAAGACACGGGTAGACGATCTGATATCACTGTAACCACTGGTGACGACACCACTTCAAATTTATCATCACAGCAACTACTGTCCATCATCGATTCATCGATTTTTAAATTATCCACATAACTTTCAAAGCATCCGGAATTATCTGAATAATTTTTATTCAATGATAGGACTTTCTCAGCAGCTGGACAACCTGCAATCTGAGAGAATATTGGAAGAAAAAAAAGGATTAAAATTGAAAAAAATTTAATGATTATGTTAAGAGTTGTAGTTTTTATGTACAAAAGAAGAAGCATCAAGATATCATTATAATTACACAACACGGCCTATTACAGTGACAGAAAAAGTAACACGTAATTCCTTCTCACCAACCAGTGGCTTGTGGTGATTGATCAACTCACCGATTTCAAATCAGTTGTCATCACGCACTGACGTCAGTTGGAGAACCATTTGCATAGGTATTACGTCTTGGTTTGGGACTCCTCGGTAGTGCGCGCACACACACATCGATACTCACGACGATCTGCGCAGTAGTCAATCGCTTCAACATGGATTTCTTCAAGTCCTAATGAGAAATCGTAACGTGTGGGATCAAACATGTTGGATGATAGTCATGATATATCACAGAGTGACAGAAGTAGCAAAATTTTAGACCAATGGATTTCAACTTACTGACTGAACAGTAACGTATCCACTATGAGACTTGGCAGTACTCCGCTCGACTTCTCATAGGACTGTAGATGAGTACTTCTGAGGAGTCTCGAACTAAGACAAAACAGCTGTCCGGTAAGTCCAAGTTTTCAGTGGTCCTCTCAGTGATGTCAATCAATGAAATTGACGAATTTATTTTCATTTCAATTTAGGATTCTTTAAGAATGAATACCTGAAAATCTTTATTGAAGTTGAAAGAAGTGAGCATATGTTTAAAATCAACTAGATTACGTTCACATCATAAAGTTACACTTATCAGTAAGATTCCATCATTCTTCAATCAGTTTAAGATAATAATAATAGATCAATTTTCTGAAACTGACTGGACAAACCATTCACTTTACACTATTCTATCAGAACAGTTCAACTTAATGGCTGGGAAGCATATTGCTAGGTTCGAGTCTCAGTGGGTACAATATCACTCATTGGAAGGTTGGTGGGTCCAGCTGACAAGTTCTAAGTAGGATGAAACGTTTATGTCCTGGATTTCACTGCTAGCCACCATTCATCACTAATATCAAATTTGAAAATACCGGCAGTATCAAGACACCCACTCATGGGCCCACAAATCAATCGTGACCAGTCAATTCGCTTCAATCAACGACGGGATAATACAAGCGATAAAATCATGTTGTTTTAACCTACCAATAGACTAATCTTGTTGAATACAATGTATGTGGTTGTCATCTAATGGCGTAGTTATATTCACTCTTTGATGTCTTCTAAACCTTCAATATTTGTGCTAACCTTCATCTACAAAGTATTCCCTTACACAATTATGTCTACTCTGATATCAGTCTTTCCTATCCATTTGTTCTTTCTTGCCCACTATGAAGTGTGGCAACTTGAACCGATGCATTAGTGTTCGAGGTTCTGTGTTGATTTTCTCAGTCTGTTTCTCATCCAATTTTTTATGACTTGAAATTGTTGCAATGTTACAGAGTTTAGCACAACTCGAACCACTGTACATTCTGTTTAAGGTTCTTAGAGCTGGGGTGGTGGTCTAACAGTCTATCATCTACGAGCGTTTTGAAAGCTAACCAACCAATGAATATTTAACGTGTTTAGTGATTGACTTTTGAAGAAAAGAAACAGCTTGTTTGATATAATACAATGATAATATCAAGAGACAGCATTAATCTACAAGGTTTCTAACCAAGTGGTTTCCACAGGTTATCATAAATCAATGATGACAAAGAGATGATAGATGTAATCCACTGATAAACTCATAATTTCAATATGCGCAGACACGTGGTTGCTTTGCTTCATTTGAAATTTGGAAATTTACACATATTGGAAATGTGATCCCATGGCTTAAATAGTAGACTTTTAAACAATATATATTCAGGTTTCCAACTTCACTGCATCTACTTTCGTATGAATAAACGAGTAATATGAACCTAGACAGAACTAAAAATCAAAGTAGAACTTTCAGTTATATCACTAAGTCTCCAGTCACTGGTGCCTGTCATTTTGAAGACGGCAGCTAGGTAGTTGACACCTCCGTACATGGTTGAGACCAACAGTTATAAATTTCATCAGCTGGTGCCACGTCTCGGTCACCCCACCCACATAACCTTTGTTCAACCCAATCCTACTTTGGCTAACGTTATACGTCAAACTGCAATCCTTCACAGAATAGGTGTGATTCATTACCTGGTATATAAACTTGTACCGGGATGAGATGGACTAAATTATTAGTTAACTAATCTGCTCAACATCTTTCGTCCTTTTATTTCTGGTATTATTTTATTTGCGTTAAGTGTAACAGACTCATACCTCCAAGTGAAAAAACATCCTGTCCAAAGTTGAAAGTACGTAAGTGACACTAAATTGGCTATCTTGCCCCAGGGGTCTAGTGGATAACGCTTTAGCATTCAAAATGATTGGTACTGGGTTTGAGTTTCAGTGGGAAGAATATCACTTACAGGGTTGTAGGTACATTCAGCCGACGGGTCCCAAATAGGACGAAACGCGAGTCCTGGATTCCCCTGGTAGTCACCAAGATGTACAGAAAAAAAACTATATTCTATCGATTGGCTCCAAACATTAAAAAAATAAGCATCTCTTATTGTACTGTTAGATAATGATGAAAAGAAGTTTGAAATTAAAGGAATATGAATCCTGTGAATGTTTTTATTGTTTCACAGAAGAGTGCGACAATATTTGTTTGTTTGTTTTCAAAAAGTTGACCTAGTTAAAATTGGTTCATGGAGTGTTTTAAGTGTCAAAAGGTTGAAGACAAAGTAGGGGAGGTTATTACTAAACTTACATTTCATGCTTATTTCTAACCGCCTAGCCATCTAGGACTCAAAAATAACATCATTCAACATCTCTTTCAGAAACACTACGACCCTCAGCTATTTTACAGATAATAAACAATGACTATACGACTAAATGTGAGCAACCGCTTTATATACAGACGTATACGCATACAATTTGCCTCCTAGTTTACTTACATCTTTGTCAATGAACGGTAAAATGCACAAATCCTAGATCCATCACTTTCTCCCGTTTGTCTTAAAAAAACACCGAAAACTAACAACCAAAAGTATTCATAAATGTTGTATTGATGTAGACGAAAAACATTCTGTTTCAATTATAATTTATAAAATTTCGACGATATTTGCCTAATTAATGCACTAGCGTTTGAAGCGGTGAGTTAGAGTCTCAATGAGCACAAGTAAATCTGATCGGTAAGTTACAAATACGCTAGAACACATATTTTGAACACAACTACTAACCATCACACTGTGTAGTGCAGTAGTGTAGTGAAACAAGTACTTCACTTGATAATCGAAGGATCTGTTGAACGATGAATCTACCTAAGTACAAACAAAGTTCGGTTATTTCGATAGAGTAGAAGTATACAAAATGAATGAATAGGTTTAGTTGAAATGAAGCGGAAAAAACGATGTTAGTCAGTGAAATAAGCGTTTAAGATAAGCAGAAGGATTTAATGGGACGGAGGTGGGGGATGAATCAGATTAGTGATATTAAAAGGTATCAAAGATACCAAAATAGAAAGATAACAAACAATGTAATATAATTTCCCGCAGCAAAAACCATCGAAAAAACATCCACCTAAGATATGAAGAATGACTTTATTCAACAATAATCACAACAGAAGATATGGTTCTTGGAATATCAACGAGCATGGCGTTAACTGGTTTTCGAAAACTTTCTCTCCTGCCCCCAAAAAATGCCAACAACAATTAGAACTGTGACTGTTCAAGACATATGGTAGAAAATATCACTTTTTTCATCAAATTACTTCATCACTAGTCCATCCACTATTCCTCTATATTTCTTTATTTTTTAATGTCTAGTGCTTTTCTCAAAGATTACAACATTTACAACAAGGCACACTTCTGATTTAACATGGATGCAACTAGCCTTTAAGACTAGTCCAGGGGTCGACTTCCTGTAGTGACATGTCACTGGAAGTGGGGTGGGGTGCAAGTAAATCTACTTGACGAATCCCAAACAGGACGAAATGCACATATTGAACTCCATTTCTAACAGTCATAAACAAATAAAAAGTCCATGTTTTTCTCTCTTCTAAGTTGTCTGTAAAAACCACCTCACTATTCAGAAGAGAAGAATTAGTATTTGATATAAAACGAAGATGTTAGCTGTCTGTTACACAAATGCATCATTTCAAGTTACCACACTTTATACATCATGGAAAGTGCAACTATTCAGGTAACTTCACTCCCTGTTGTTCAACAATGCATCCCTTCACAATAATCGTCAAATAGAATTTTGTATGAATAAGGCGTGAAACATATCCAAAATATATTCATAGACTTTTCAAAATATTTTGATAAACTGTATTTTCGTTAGCATCTTTACACCTTAGTAGGGTTTATATCATCAGGGTCATCAGTCCGTAGAAAAATGACAAAAGTGATACTTTCATAAGATCATCCAACTACGAAAAAGTTGTATAAGAAATGAAGGAAGTGAAAATCACTAGCAGTTTATCACTAGAAGAAGTCAACTCAAATCAATACCTTTCCATTATTAACAACTACACATTTAGGTTACTTATCAAATATTTAAAGAGAGAAAAATAATAATAAAAGTTCAACTGATCTAAGAGTATAACTTGAAGAATATTTAGAATTGTAGGACGTTGACTACAAACCAACTTGCCGGCATGATCAAGTATTATTGAGAATATCTAAAGAAGTGAATGGTTACGCTTAATTAATGAACAACGCTATCATAAGCGCAGATGATACGTGTGTTAATGAATATCACAACTAGTTAACTTGTATGACCCTAATGAAACAAACAGTTCATTGCAAATTAGACAAAAGGAATAATAACACATACTTCATTACACGATCCAGTAAAAAAAGAAAAGCTAATCAATCCAAAAATGTGCTAACAACAACATACCCGCCTATCATTATTATTATTATTCTATTATTATTATTATTATTATTATTATTATTATTATTATTATTATTATTATTATTAGTCCCTTGGGTTCCTAATGGAACATAGGCTTCAGTAGCACGTCTCCAATGCGCTCTGTTCTCTGAAATCTTTTGAACCTGCCTCCACGACAGCTCACAAGCTCTCATTTCCTCCTCGCACGATCTCCTCCATGTCACCCTCGGACGACCAACTCATCGCTTCCCATCTGGGTTCCAATTGAGGGCCTGACACGTGGTGTCCCCAGTAGACCTTCTCAGTGTATGCCCAATCCATCCCCACTTCCTTCTGCATATTTGTTGGTTGATAGGTTCTTGGTTGGTTCGTTGGCAGGCCAGAGTTCCTTGTTGCTTATTCTCATTATTCTGGCCATCTGATCTCCAGTATCGGGTGAGCGTAGGCAGCAGCTGTTGATGAATGTCTATAGTTTGTTGGAAATCCCTCTCGTAATGCGCTAAGTCTCTGAACCATATAGAAGCACTGACTTGACTGAATTGGTGTTGGGAATCCGGATCTTGTTGACGCTTTATCCTGAGTACGGGAGATCTCCACACTGGTTTCAGGCTAAAATGAACTCCTGTCTTGCTTTTCCGATCCTGGCTGCTGTGACGACCTCGTCTGTGCCACCGCCGCCTGTAGTTGAAACGATGCTGCCTAGATAGTTGAAAGAGACTAGTTCCTCTAAGTTTCTCCCATTGACGATGATTGGTGTTTGTTGTTGTTGATGGTGGTGGTGGTGGTGGTGGTGTTGGTTGGGGTATC